CCGTGAGGCCGCCGACAGCCCCCGCCTTCCCCGTGCACTGTGCCTCTGTAGGAGCACTGCCAAGGAGAGCCTTTGCGAAGCAGCAGTGGCGTGAAGTAGGGTTTCTTCCCAGCCCCAGGGTGTTTTCCTTTTTGTTTCCAGAAGCTGGAGCTCGTGCAGGGGCACATGAGCTGTGCGGTCCCCCTTTCATCCAGCTCATCATCAGCTGGGCTTGTGCCTCATTCGGCTCCTCCAGATGTCTGTCGTGACTGGAGGCCCTCCACCAGCCTGAACCTCTGCCGTCTCTCCTGTCCTTAGGGGAAGTTCAGCCTTTGACTATATGCAGGCTGCCGCTTCACTGAGTGGTTACCGCTCTGTAATTTGGAAATGCTTGCCGGGCTGTGTCTTCATGTCTTATATTTCTGTGGTTTGGGCTGCTAGTTAGAGAGTAAGTGCCTTGCTTATCTTAGAATATCAATTACACAAACAAATGAAATATGTTATCTTGTGACATCTGCCAATATTTATTACTGAACACTTAATGAAAAAAGTCATTCCTGTGGTTTTTTTCTTATAGTTGCCTGTATTATCTAAAACTAGTGTATTCAAATCAATTTTTCATAATACTCCATTTTGGTCTTTTCCCTGTGTAATCAAGCTAGTACATGGATCCTACAGCTACAGGATTAAACAGGTGCTGCCAGCATGGAGTTCTCTTAATCCTGTATACTCCATATGGCTCTACAGACCCAAAGTAATTTCGTTGTAATAAATGTTTAGAGGCTTCCTTAATTCTTTTATTTAATAACGTCTGTGAGAGATGTGAGATAAAAATACTTTTTCCACTGCAGGAAACTGCAATTATAGAAGAGTTCATATTTCCTATTTATTTTTAAGTCTTCTACAAGAGTTAATTTTTCTTATTGTGGAAGACACAATATTCAAGTCAATTACGGCAGTTAGCTCTTGAATAGCTAGATATAGGTATATAGAGAAGGTAAGAAGCATTTCAGCTTATGCCTTGAAGCATCCTTTGAAGCTAGGGATGCTTCATTTTCTAATGGAGAAAATAAGGCGAGGAGTGGTAAGGTGACTTGCCCATTATTGCACGGAAAATCTTTGAGCCAAAGGTAGAGTTACTCATTTAGTACTCTTAAACAGAAGAAATAAAAGTGGAATTGTCAATTTTTCTTCATCATAATGTGTAGACTGTTTTGTTTTTTTTTTTTTTTTAGTTATATGGGTTTTTTGTTTCATTTCTAGGTTAAAGTGAAAATACCCTTTGGAAACAAATATCTTGATGCTATCTTTTCTGTCCCAGAGAAGAAATCGACATATGGAGTGATTCTTACCCATGGAGCTGGAGGAGATATGAATTTCCCTCACTTAGTATCTTTGGCAGCCTATCTTGCATCCCATGGAGTTCTGTGCCTGCGGTTTACTTGTAAAGGCCTTAACATTGCTTATAGGACTAAGGCCTTCAAAACAGTTGTGGTAAGAAGTGACTGGATTATGCCAAAGCTTAGATCCATGGGTGCACAGGATTTAAAACAAAACCAAAAAACCACAAAAAAAACCAAACACAAAAAACCAAACAAATCCTGTCTGCTTCTGGTTTTCTTAAATTACCACCAGCTATCAGTCAAGCAGCAATAGGAAAATTAGAAATGATGGTTAGCTGATTGTAGCAGTGCCCATGAGGGGAAACAGCAGGATAAATTTTTATACAGGCAATAGCTAGAGCAGCTGCAGCAAATACGTGGGTTTGAGTTCAGGGAGAGAAAGAAAAACTTGAGAAAAGGATGTGAAGAAAGCAAGGATGTTTTATGGAAAAACAGCTGGAAAAAATGAAGTATTTAGGAGGGCTTGGTGAGGGGAAGAGGATTAAGGGATGCAGCTTTGGGAGCAGTTTTGAGAGGAAAGAAGCTGACCTGGGAATTGTGCTGGGTCTCTGAGGGTTGGCAGCTAGGAGAACAAGACTTTGGGGAAAGAGTAGTGGACTCTGGGTCACAGGAGGAGTGGAAGCAAAAGAGATTAGGAGTAGCATATGGGAGCCCCAGAACCTAAATAGTCTTTGATTTCCAAATCAGTTTAAACTGTTATATGTGTCTGTTTATCTCTTTCTGCTGTTGCTACATTATTTAAGATCTTCTTAAACCTAACCTAGATTTTGTTAAAATGAGCAGCTTCTTGCGATAACAGTATCAGCTTAGAGTATCTTCCTGTTCTGGAGTGCATAGGGAAGAGTCAAAATCTTCTCCTGATTAGCTACTTTTACTGGGGCATGGGAAGGTAGCTCGAGTGCTTTGCATTGAGCATCAGACGTTTTTATCAGGGAATGAAGTCCAGTTCTTAAGGAATTCATTTGTATGATGTCATTGTGATTATGTGTGCATTAATTTGAGGTTAGACTTTGCTAGCTTTAATGGGGATCTGTTCTCCATTCTTTTTTGAAGCAGCATGACGTTGTTAGTGCGTTTATATAAATATGCTGCTGTGTAAAGGTAATTTAAAGGCTTCTGCTAAGACAGCATCTGATTAGTTATCTCCTTAAAAACTGAAAAATTTGTTGCTGAATTTTATATTTTCTGTCAGACATAACTGATTGTGTCTTAAACTTTTCGTTGGAAATATGCGACCTCAGCCTCAGCGAAGGGCATTTTTCCTAACTTATTTTGCCTGTTGATGGGCTAAGAGTGTGCATGCCTCTGTTACTAGAACTAAGTTGATACACAGTAACCGTTTATTGTTTTGGTAACTTCGTAGGGCATCTGAAATTTTAGACTTGCTGAGAACTAATGTGAAATTGCTTACGTTTATTATGTTGTTACTGCAGAATGTTATGAAATCATTTGTGTGAAAAAACAAGATAGCAACTTGTATGTATCTGTTCTTTGTTTAATCTGCAGTGCTGAAAGAGTTTCCCTTTTGGTGTTCAGTAGCTACAAACAAAAAAAAATCCCTGCCTCTCAGTTGCCTTAATTCTGACTTGTCAGGTTTCTCTTTATCTTATTTCTTTAGGAATACTTAAAGCTTTCTGATGATTATAAACTTTCGGGCGTCTTCCTTGCAGGTATTGTTTTTATTACCTATAATTTTCTCTCTTATACAATGATAGCAATCTGTAATTACTCCATTTTTTAAGTCTGTCCCACTTTGGTAAGAAGTGAATGAACAGATGTGGATGACAGGTTTCTGTTTGAGGTGGGTGCTAAAGGCTTGCTGTCTAACTTGGGAGGAAGGCCAGTAAAGTCCCACTGGTCAGTATTGCCTAGGGAGAGCGATTCAGCTATCTGCTGGGAGGAGCTCCTTTACAAAGAGCTGAATGCTCTGTAAATAATCTTCATTAGTTGATTAGCAGCCCACGGACTGCCATGGGAACACAGGTGCCAGACCCACTTACAGGTCTGCGTTCGGGTGTCTGAATGCTGCCAGCCCTGTAGCTGGTGGCTGCGTGGGACGGGTGTGCAGCTCGGCTCTCGCGGCTGGCTTGAGCAACACTGCTTCTCGGGGCGCAAATGGGAACGTCCAGCCTGCAGCTTCCACCGCGTTCTCTTGGGAGCATGTCTAGACCTGTTCACTCTCCTCATGGTGCCACAGATCTTGCCCCAGAAGGAGGAAGGAAAGAGCAATAGACTGTGTTTTCCAGGTACTTTGGGAGAAAACTTCCTTGTCGCTTGTAAGTGACGGGGCATGAGTTCTCTCATAATCCATGTGTACTTTTTAACTGTGGGTTTTGAAGAATTCCAGTTACTCGTAAATGGCAAACCATTTTGCCAAAGCAGGTTTTGGTAGATAAAACCTCGTGGCAGCTAGGAAATCAGTTATATTATGTGAAAAAGGGAAGTAGACAGGTGTGATTAGGAATAACTTGATACGGGAAACCCTCAATGTTCTCTGACTAAGCGAAACCAAATCTGTGCTGAGGCAAGTTAATCCCACTGGAATCAGCCACTTCTAACACTCAATTACAGAGCATTGTCAGCTCATATGCCTCCTCTTTGAGGAGTTATTTTGGTATCCTCTTGCTGTTACTGAATGACCTCATGCTACAAGTTTACAGTTTATTATTTTTTTTCCCCCTTTTACTTTTAGGCTGAAGTTTGAGGTGTGCATAAAACGCTTGCTGGATTTGTTTTGGGAGTAAGGCACATGAAACTTTGTTTTTAGTTTGAGCAGATTAAGGTTGCATGAAAAAAAAGGTACAAGATAATAGCATTGCTATCTGGAATTTCAAGGGTCTGGAGCATAGGACCTATCCCTCTCTTCCTCCTGCCCCCAGGATGGGCTGTTGTTCTTTCCAGTATTGTAAAGGATGCCTCTCAATTTCTCTTATCTTCCCCCCGCCCCCCTTTTTTAAATGGGGGTGTGAAAACATAATATAATCAGACAAATATTTTAGCAGAAAATGTTGAAATTAGGATTAATATTTTTCATGGAGTAGATGAATAAAAGCATCCCTAGCATCTTGTACTGCTGGTACACCAAAATACACTTGGTTGGATTGTTTTCAGGAGTTGTTTACTTGAACAGAATGTAGATGAGATGACAGCAGATACACTTTTTTCCTTTCTTTTAACATGGGAGAAAGGCCGTTCCATGGGCTCACGAGCTGCTGCCTCTGTGATACGTCATCTTAGCCAGGAGGATGACGATGACTTCATTCAAGGTCTAGTATGTTTATCTTACCCATTGCATCGACCAAAGCTTCAGTCCAAGCTCCGGGATGAAGATTTATTATTAATCAGGTGTCCGGTGCTGTTTGTCTCAGGATCAGCAGATGAGATGTGTGAAAAAGTGAGTACCCTCATAAATCCTGCTGTGAAGGGGCAATACGGAGGAATAGGAATGAGTCTGAGTCTTGTCTGTACTGATATACACAGCTGTGACTTCGATTAACAGCCTTCTCTAAATATATCTATTTTCTGAAGGAAGCCTTGGGTAGGAAACTTCATTGGACATAAGGAAGCCTGGGGGCACTTTTTTTTGCTGCTTAAAACTTCTGGATCGTGCTTGATCATCCACTTGAGCAAACTCATCTTTGGGCCACTAAAATACTGCTAATTTATATGCTTTGTCTTTTTTGATAGGATAAGATTGTACAAATTAAGAGTGGTCTATGGAAGGAGCAAGTTATTTGTTACTCTGTTTTAACCATTTCGGGTTACAAAACATAAACACTGTGCTGTGCTACCAGTCCACATTTGTCACATTTTCATGAGAAATTCTAGCAAAGCACTTCTACCCACAAGTCAGACTTCTGTGGTAGAAAGCAGTTTTTGTAGAGATGAAGAACAGGTGTGCAGAGATCAGAGTAACAGTGGTTTTCTGCCTTGTTTTCTTGCAAATAGTAGGCACCTGTTGACAGTTCAACTTGAATTTGGGACAGTTTCTAAGGAGTCATAATGCTTTCGTGAGGAGTTGTCACCAAAATAAGTCAGGCTAGCAACCAGCTCCAGATCCTTGGAGTGCCCTCTTAATGGGGAAATCTTTTGGACCTTCTGAGCTGGTTCTTGGATCTGTTTGCTGAGAAAGTTGAACAGAGTCAAAGCCAGTCTCTAGGGAATTACATTGCTACTCTGCCACTGTGGACAAATCTGACGTAAGAAGTTCTGTCATTTTATTGCTAGTATTACCCTCTGGCAGTAAAAAGTGGATTCCTCCGTCCTTCCCGCTTCGTGGGGAAGGAGCCTGCACAGGGTTGTGACCTTTGCAGTTTTTTAAGTTGTAATTTTCTGCTGTTCTGTGTTTGAGTGAGGGCTAACCCTTAAGCAAATTCCGTTACCGAACACAGTATCATCACGTCTTTCTTATCAACATGTTTTCAATGTGCACACAGATCCATTTTGTTTTTAAGAGCTGCCTATTAATGTATGACACAAGCAAAGCGAGAGATGTCTGTGAGTTGCAGTTTGCAGCAGCTGATCCTCTAACCTTTTCATTCTTATTTTCTCCGTAGCAATTGCTAGAAGGTGTGGCAAGCAAAATGAAAGCCCCTAAAAAAATCCACTGGATTGATAAAGCAAACCATGGGATGGCAGTCAAAGGACGAACAACAGATGATGTCATGGAAGAAATCAATGCCCAAGTTTTTTCTTGGCTTAGAGAGAATATTGAACTGGAGCACAAATGATTTGCAGTGTTTAAGCAGTATCTTCATTTAGCTTTTCCTAAATACAGCAAATTAGAGTTTGTTATTTCTGAGAGACATATTTTTAAAACAGGTATTTTCAGAGGTCTAAGTGTAAATGCAAATAAAACATTTTTGTATGAATGAAAAAAATTATGCAAAACAATAAAGAATTTTTTAAAGGAATCCTGTGATGCAAGATGAGGAATCTCTCGTCATTTACAATGTCACTGCCCTAAGGAGCCACATTCTCTGCCTGTGTGGGCAGGAGGAGGTGATGCAGGCACGGTTGTGCATGAGGAGCAAAGAACGTTGGTCAGTTTTGAAAAGTTGCCCTCCACCAGCTTCCCTTGCATGAAGGACTGGTCACAAAGGCCCTCTGGAGAGATGGGCATGGAAGACTATTAAACAAAAACTGATCAAAGACAAATTATGTCTGTACTGGTGGAGGAACTGCTTGGGGAGGAAGCAGTTACGACATGTTGTGCAAGGCTTCTGTCAGGAGGGCTCAGAAGAGGCAGGTGGGGGTCTGGACCCCATTACCCATTGGCAGAAGGAGCTCAGGTCTTCAACTGAGCCCTGATGTTGCAGAGCGGATGAAATACTTTGTGTGCGCCTGCAGTTGCAGACTTCCCCGTTGTGTGCTGTGAGTAAGCTGTTGGTATAACCAAAGGTTATAGCAATATGTTAATAGCTTTTAGCCAAATCATCAGCAAGCAGCAGTGGAATGATGACTCCTGAGGTAAAATGTCTGGCTGGTCCTGAGAAAAGTGTCTTGGTTTTGTCTCCTGAGCTGGTGGTCTCATCTCTACTGCCAAGAGTTGCCTAAAGCCTGCTCCGGTCATTCTGCATCTTACGGCTTGCAGCGTGCTGCTGCAGTGCCGCCGGCTGAACGTGAACAGGCGGCTTTAGCCGGGAGGTTGTTCTTGGAAGGAGCTGTTGCGTGTGACAGTGCAGAGCTGCTTGAGTGTACGCCGAGTCAGCCTTGGTGAGCAGAGAGGATTTCTGTGATGTTTTGGTCAGGTGCTTAGATCAGATAACTTTATTTTGGTGCTGTATTGTATAAAAGACCTATTTAAGACTTTAGGTGAGTGTAGTTAAATTATAACATATATTTACCACATGATCAAACAAACTATTCCTTAGGCTTGCTTTTACTATAGTAAAAATAATAGGCAGGTGAAAGTTAAAAACCAGATGCAATATTCTTCCGTTGTTTCTCACAAGATGCCTCAAGAATGCTCATCTCCCAGCAGTAATGTTTTTCAACAAGCACAGCACACATCTAAATGTGTGCAAAGAAAATAACCATGTGGTTTTTAAAATGGCTGGCTGTGTTACAGGGAAAATAAATCCTCACTTGGGACTGGAAACATGTGCGCTAACTTTAGAACTTGATGAATTTAGACTTGACTTTAAATCCACCTATGGATCATTTTCAGATGATGCTTCAGAAAGTAACAGTTGAATTACTTGGTATCAGTGGAAAGCAAGTATATTAAAAATAGACTAGACTGTTGAAACAATGATCTGTTTAGTTTCAGCAGTCATTGCTTAATGCTACTTCATTCTTTTCATACTGCCAATGAGACTGAGTTTCACAGACAAAGCATCTGTGAAAAATCGTGTGGAACTTGAAACTTCTATCTAATATTCCTAAAGTGTCCAATAGCACTGTCTTTTTCCCTCAGGTTAAAAAGATGTACTATAAACCCCACACCATTGTCTTTGAGAATACTGTTTCTCTCAGAAGGAACAAAGTTATGGTCTGAAAAAGATGACTTTGGATAGCTACATGGGGTGGGGGAGTAGATTTACAATTCTCATCTGCCGTTTTTTGCAGAACACGCTTGTGAATAGACTCAGTGTAACAAGCATGAGTAAAAAGTATCTGCATTTCAAAGGTATCTCAGGACAGTAACACATGATTGATACAAACATGTCTTTTATTTAAAAAAAAAATATAAAAATGTTTTTGAACAAGGCTCTGCAACCACTGCATGATAAAAAGGAAATAGGGGGTGCTTGGTGTTCTTCCATATGTAGATCATGATACAGTAAACTTCATAATATCCACTGATGTCATCCATTGGCATTTTAATCCAAATTTTTCTTCTTTCCTTAAGAAGCCATTCTGAAGGTAGGTAAATATTAAAAAAATTATTTTATTTCTTTCTGTCAGAGTTCATCTTTGGCCTGTAATCAGGAAAGAAGAAACATTTTTCAGTTAATCGGAAACTCAATTTTTAACTGTGTAGTCCTGCAAATACATTAAGAAATATTTCTAAGTTCGATAGGCATTAATGGTCTGGTAACGGATACCATGGGCTATTGAGCAACGGCTGTTCCAGTTTGGTTGAATATGAACTGAAGACGCCCAGCGCTTTGCGTTTAACCGTGTATGTACCGTACCTTTTTTCTGTGGCAAGTACATGGAAAAAGGTCATCATCAGGCTGCTGCACTTTCTCCATCCCATCTCTGATTTTTGGCTCGCTCACTTGCAAGCTGGCATATTCCTAGTTTTAAAAAAGGTATCATTAATTCATCAACTTGTTAGATTGCACATCTGGTTGTAAATATTGCACCAACTCAGCTGAGTAATTCTGTAAAAACTCTGGAGCTACACAATCTGTTACTCCATACTGTGTCACAGACAGGGTAAGCAGATACTTAACTGCAGACAGGAGCCCCTTCGGGTGCCTCACTGGAGTTTCAGTATCTCAGTGCTAATGCACAGATATTTTCAGCTGTGGTTCACAGGGTGTGCGTCTGATGTGGAATTCTCTGATCATTCTGGGCAACATTCTTGCAGATTAGATCAAGATTTATGGGATGCGACTGCTTCTCTCAAACCACCAGCGTAGTCTTAAGGGGTTTCATAGGAAATAATTGCATGCAATGTTTGTAAACCAACTGAAGTTCTTAATTGCTGCTGCTTGCTTTGTGGCTTTGTGGCCCTGAATTCTTTCTGTGGGATTTCTATTTTTGTGGTAGTAGCCCTTAAAAATATACTAACCTGGAAAAGTTTGAAATAATAACAAAAAATGTGATCTCCCATGAGATTGTTTCTTGCAAATTCTTGTCCAGATTTTGCAATATTTTTTGCCTGTCAAAGAAAATAATAGTTTTTTTTAAAAAATTCTCAAAAAATAGTAGGTATTTCAGTGTTGATTCTGGAGTTAAGTATAGTGTTGACAGTTTAGGATAACTTATTTACTTTTATTTAAGCATTCTTAACTTTAAAAGTAATTCTTATGAAAATACTCTTAATCTGCCCGAAGTTCAATTTCATTTCAAATTAAGGGCAGTATTACGTATTTTTTTAAAAGTGTTTTTCTTATTTATAGAGTTGATGACAACAATTTTTAAGTCCTCCTAATAGATTTTTTTTTTTTGTTTCAAAGAAATGCACCTTTTGCACGCTCTATTTTGTCTAGAAACATTGCTGAGTACTTCTAAATGTATATTTACCTCTTCATCATGCTCTTTTGCCCACTGCAGTTTTTCTAGTAGATCACTCAGGTCACTTTTAAACGGAATATAATGTTTCCATGGCTGCAGCTCGTTATAAAAATGCTCATAGTAGATGGAGTCTTGCTTTAGCACCACACTGTTTCCTGCTAGTAGATAAGGCAATCTGTATGCTGCCACTGTGCCATCAATATTAATTTGATATTTATACTGGAAAGGAAATGACCACAAGTTACTAACAAACAGAAGATCCAAGTAGCTTGGTTAGGTTGTATTATTCTGAGGGCACTGGTATTACTGACTTGCCGATATTGAGAAATGTAGGATTGGCTAGGCAAGCATCAATGTTTAAGTAGCTTTTATTAATTAGTTTGGAATTCATCACAGTGCAGGGTACACAGAGATGCCCTCTTCATCAATTAAGTGCTCCGGAAATTCTTAGATGCTCATCCTCGGATGTGAGAGTAGATGTGCCACTTCATCCACTGATTTTCCCACTATGTTAGTTATGTTAGTAGTCCTGATCGCTGAATCAGGAAAAAGAAATAAAAAGGAACTTGGAGTTACATAGATTACACAAGGTTCTACAGAACCTTTAGGCGTAAATCAAACATTATTATCCTCGGCGTAAGAGCTACATAGCAGTTAATCCCACTGGAGAGATGCCTATTCATGCTTCTTACTGGTGTTGCGCTGAAAAACTAAAAATCACTTTATTATCAACAATATATACAAAGTTATTTGATAATGGGAAACACTGAGAACCTAGTTCTATGAAAAATGGTTAGTGGCTTACCTTAAAAAAATCAAAAAATGAAATGTGCTTAACAATGGGACCATAGAGGTTTTCATCATGTTTAAAAAAAAAAAAGTTTGTGAAAGCAGCATCTATGATCCCTGGGTATTTTCTGCTCAGTTTTACAAGTTCAAGCCTCTCTTTGCGGCTGTCACGTCCTCTCCAGAATGCTGTGGTATTCTTGTCTTCCCATGATGGGCCAGTATTTGCTTGAACTGACATCATATCCAGACTGACTCTGGAGGAGAAAGAAGTGATTTAATAGTGAAGCCTAGTGGAATTTTTTTTAAGTGCAATTACTTAAAAGTGTTTACAGTACCAATAGGCAAATACCAAGGATGAAGGTAAGTCACGGGCACACCCGTATGTGTTGTATGAGTATTTTTGCAGCAATAAAAATAGATAAGGAATGTCAAGTTCACAGGCATGTGGCAGGACAGTATCAGTTCAACGACAGCTTGGCATGTGGAAAGAGTACCTGTCAGTTGTCATGGAAAAAAGTGGCTAAAAGTGGATAGGGTTGCCAGAAAGATGAAGGCGATACAGGATAATGCAATAGCTGATAATGGTGATCAGGCAGGCACGGTGGTCCAAAGCAAGGTTTTTATGTAACTAGCTTAATACAACATATTTCACTTCCTTTGCTAAACTAAAACACATGAATTGGAGGGGCAGGAGAGAGCAAATTTAGGCAAAGTCTTGATAATAAAGACAAGGCACCTGAACTGAATGCAGTGAAATGATAAACAGGTTCGAAGTGGATAACAAAGCTCTCCTAGAAGCTGGCTTTGTAGTGTTTTGAGACAGCGACAGAGCAGTTATGAAGGCCAGTTATCATCAGTAATCAAAGTGGGAGATGGTAGGTCCGAGGTCGAGAGTTCTGGCTACGTTGGGCTTTAAAAGGTACAGAAAAAAGATTCGAGGAAAATCAGGAAAAAAGACACCTGGCCAGTTGTCAACAAGTTCATTGGGGGGGAAACAAAGCAAACAAACAAAATACCTACTCTTGAAACATTCCCTCTAAGTGCCGTTTTCAGTGACTTGACCATGTTTACATTAATTTTGATTTTTTAAAATAAAACAGTGAAGTATTTTAATATATGTCATTTATGCTATATAATACCTAACTTGGTTAATGTTAAGATACTGATTACAGAGTTACTGCCTACCTGTAGGGTGCCAATGTCTCAATGAATAAATAAAGAGTAAAACAGTTAATATACTGTTAATACAAATATCTTTTTGGAAGATCATTCACTGTGAATTTTGTGAAAATTTAAGCAACTTCTTACCGTCCCATAGTCTCCAAAACCGAGTCCGTTAAGTCATATGTTGGCATGACAATGTCTTTTGACTCAGTGGACCCACACCATGAGAAGATGGGGTGCAGGTTCTGTGGGGACTTCTTTTTCTCCAGAGGCCAGTCCCCCAAATTAACAAAAAATTCTACATCTGGCATTTTCACCTAAACAGAAGCAAAGTAGGCACAAATGCATTTTAATACAAAGCAGTATTCTGCTGGCATCTCACATTTTGAAAACAACCTCACAAAGAGAAAAAATGGTCAGGTCTCTAATATACTTAATGTACCTGAAATAAGTTGTTAAAGTTTAGAAACTTGTTAGAAATACTGAGACCACAGCGTAAAGTCTACAAGATAATAATATTTTTTAAAAGATTTGCACAAAATCACATAAATGCTCTCTTTTTTTAGAAGGATAGGAACACCCCAGTTTAGAGGATGGTTTCTCATTATACTTTACATGATTGGCCACACAATCTTTGTACCAGGCTAGGACTGGGATCTAGTAAGCAATCATATAGTTCCAAGGTAAGCTGAACCACCTTGTTGACTGTATGGAAAATTGCTGTTGGGTGGTAAATTAGTTTTTTGTCACATCAGTGAACTGATTTGCCCTGTGTCTGCATGATGACTAAACCAGAAATGAACAGCCATGATGGGAAGACCACATTTAGTCAGTGCTGGGGTTAATTATTAAGCATAACATCCTCACTTATTTAAAATACTTGGTAGTGTGGAACCATATCTGAAATCACTGTCACAGCCAAAAAGCAAGCAAAATACTGTTGATGGCCAGGAAATGTTGTAACTACAGGACAGAGGGCATAATTTTGCTGCTATATGAAACTTCAATGCACCCCACTCTTCAGCATTGTGTGTGGTTCTGGTATTTGCAAATGAAGTAAGAGAAGGTACAAACAAAGGCAGCTACTAAGATAGGGAGGGACCAGCTGCCTTGTGAGGAGAAACTATAAATGGTGGGACACTTCAATTTGGAGAGCAGAAGGCTGAAGGTGACATATGGTTGAGTTTAACAGAACCCTGAAGGCACGTATAATGTCAGTGCAGAACTGATGCCCTATCTGTTCTTAGTTTACCCTCTTCATGACATTAATTTTTTAAAAAGATAAATCTCCACTACACCACCCTCAGTTGCCTCTTTCAACGCAGAAGAATCCTTGTCAAATTAGCTTGTCTTTACATGCCCAAACAGCATTCTTGCTGTGTAGTTCTTTTTGAGAAAGTGAAATGAGGACTGCACCGTTTTCACAAGGTAGGCATGTCACTGGTTTTATACTGTGACATAGTCTTTTTTCCTTTTGTTTTTGCCTCCCTCCTTAATAAGTCTTAATTAGGTATTTGACTATTGCGAACATCTGATTATTATACTGGCATTTTTGGAAAACTGTTGGAATAACTCCAAGATCTCTGTCCTGCCTACTAACAGATAATTTTGAGATCATGATTCTGTGTGTGTGATTAGGACGTTTTGTTCAAGTGTTATCATCAACTATCTTAATATCTCCATGAGAAAATATCTTCTCTGAAGAAAGAACAATTATGAATGTTAATAATTCTCAAAATATACATACACAGGTAAAAATAGTTTAAACACGCATTGCTGGCTCCTCATCATACACATGCATCAAAGCATTTCTCCTCTCAAACCCCTTTATTCTTCAGATCAGAATGACTGGTCACAGGCTAACATTTCAGGATTCTTCTGTGGCCCAGATAGGTTTCATTAAGTTTCTAATTTAATTTATCTTTATGGACAGAGATAGAAATTAATAAGTTGCCAAATATCAAACACCCTCCTAAACTGTTGAGATATTCTTCTCCAATTTAATGACACGGGAAGACCTTTGGCGAAGACATCCAGAAATTCTAAAGATGGAGACCCAAAGCAGTACTTTTTGTCTTCAGTATACAGACCGACAGAAAAGGTTTTATTGTGTACCTTGATTTCAAGAGGGGTTTGGCTACACGTTCTAATCTTCAGGACTAAATTTTGTTAGTACAGTGCCATCTAATGGTTACAATGGACATAGAAAAGCTACAGATTATATTTTTTCTACATCCTGAATGGCAGAATCATTCAACAAGTTAAATCTTCTTCTCCAACCCAACAGATCTATTGTCTTTCAGTGACACTGTCTTAATAGAAATTCCTGCAGTATTTAATGGAGATGAGACAAATTGTGTTTTCTAGATCTGTAAGCAGTTTCTGTCTTTGGAGTTAGCAAATCTTTTCCAACATTTAGCCTAAATACCTTTGATGCAATTTAATTCCATTATTTCATGTCCAACACTACCGACACCGAGAACAGCTTACTTCCATCTTCCATAGAGCAACCTTTTAGATAATTAAAGGCTACATTCACATCTTCCCTTAGACACTGTTAGATGAAACAATCCCCACTTAAATGAATCTTCATTTGTATGTCTAGTCATTCTTACCACTTTCCTGTCCAATGCCAGTAATTGAACAGTCTTGAAGCACGACACCCAAAGGCAGACACAGTAGCATAAGTGATTACTAACCCCGAGTATAGTGGAAAGGTTATTTTACGTTTCTTTCATGTGTGTGTTCTGTTAATGTGTGTGTTTAGCTTTGCAACAGCATGCCACTGCTGACTCATGTTAAATTTGTGATACTGTAACCTTCACACTTTTCTGCAGAAAATAACCATTCACTCCCTATTTTAAATAGGTGTCATAACTATATGACTTATCAAGCCTTTGTGTAGTATCCTGCCCTTGTCACTTTATTTTATCCATTTTTCCATACAATTTGTCTTGTTAAGAAAATTTTTAATTATGATGCTGTATCATGAGGTGCTTGCAGGCTATTTCATCTTTGTTATCTGATAATTCAATAAACATATTCTCTAGTCCAACATTCAGTCAAAACATCACTAAATTATTAAATGGGGACTGAACCTAGGACAAATCTCTGAAAAATACATTTGTCACCTTTCACCTCTCTGGAAACACTGGCAACTATTATTTAAGTAAGGCTTTCCAAGCAAGTTACAGTAGTTTCTTCTAGGCAAAGTCTTCCTGTCTTGTTGATGAGAAACTTGTGAGACTTATGCTCAAAAGCCTGACTAAAATTAAGATACTTGACATCTATGCAGGAAGCCTATTATCTTGTTACAGAAAGAAATTATATAGTTATGACTTATTTTTTTATGATAAATGCATGGTTTTTTATACCAATTACCTTATCTTTCAGCTGTTTATAAATAATGTGTTTAATTTTTATTAGATTTTTAAGGGTTTTTTTTTTTAGGTGAACAGCTCTGTACTTCAAGTAGTTCCTCTCTCTTCTTTCTCTCCTTTTAAAAAGACAAAGTGCTTTGTCTTTTTACAGTCAAAAATAGGTATTAACTCTCTTTATGTAATAATCACATATTTGTGTGTGCTGAAACTTCATCCCTGTTATATTCTGTCACATTCTGTACATATTGTATTGTATACTGTATATACAATATGTATTGCACATATTATATTCTGTACATAATGTCAGGTTTTTTCCAAAGTTTCCCTAGGAAAGAGGCTGTGTGGTGCTTTTTGCTTGTACATCAAGCGAGTTTCCCCACATGCCACCTGCTGGGCTTCTGGCACTCTTTCTCAATCTTTCCTGTCTTGTTTTTGACATCTGGAATTTAATAGAGAACAATATATATTCCCTATTTTTTTCAGTCATCATGTAAAATGTACTAGCAGAAACAGAATTTTCTATTAGGTGCTACAGGATGATTTATTTAGTCTATAGAAAAAAACCCAAATCCAAACCCCACACTCTGTCCAAATCTATGAAACTCTCCTATAAAAGCCTGCTATTCAATTAACATTTGTGATATTCCATACGCTGATCAGATAGCATTCTAGAACATGCCAACCTCAAACAAGGAAAATCCATCTGACCTTTCCATTATTAAAGAACAAGAAGGGCTTTTTAACAGAAATAGAAACAAATGTGCTGAGGTATATTTGTTAAACCCAGGCTTCTATAAATTAGGACACAGGGAATAAATGACTGTACAGATGTACTCACTTTTCTTGTCAAAGAAAGCAGTATGGCATCCATGAAAATTCTGAAGCCAACATGTTCTCCATACGTCTTTATATACACCTGAAAATAAACAAAGGTTTTACTGGTCTAGTGTTTTCATTTCAGGGAGCAGCTGGCAGGGAGATTTCAGGGAGAGCTCTTTCAATCGCTTGTAAGTAACTAGTCAGACAGATTGTATGTCTGTGTAGATTTATGAATCAGCTGGGAAGCTTTAGAAATCTCATCTCTCTAACTCATCACAGAAAAGTGACCAAAAAAAAGGACAAGCTTTGCTTGCTTTTGCAGACGTTTTAGGTCTGTCTCATGGAAACAGAAACTGGTTGCCTGTTTCTGTTGGCTTCCATAGTTCTCATTTCCATACGAAACTCTACTTAAGTCCGTACAGTTTTGTTAAAAAGAAATATAGCTCTGATCCTCAGTGGAGCTAAAAATGGTATTTCTTTACCTCAGAATTATGCACAATGTAATTTATTGATGCACGTCAAATTAGATGACCGTGACACTCCACAGCAATATTACTCAAGAGGAACAAGAAACTGAATTAGCATCTAGGAGATTTGGGTCTGTGCCCAGTACTCATATTGCTTGGAAAGTAATTTGCCTTCACCGTGCTTCAGTTGTAACATGGACAAAAAGCACTTTACAAAATAGAACAGATACTGCTGAGCTCATACACAAACTGCAAAGCATTCAAACAGATACTGCTGAGCTCATACACAAACTGCAAAGCATTCAAACAGATACTGCTGAGCTCATACACAAACTGCAAAGCATTCAAACAGATACTGCTGAGCTCATACACAAACTGCAAAGCATTCAAGGACAGAGAAGCAAGCAAAGGAAGTTTCTTAAAGAACAGACTACAAGAAATCTTTCAACTGGGGACTTGCCACCAAATCCCCATATGGACTTCAGATCAACTCATTCCGTACCTCGTTATCTTTGATGGTGTAATGACACAAACTCTGTCTTTGTCCAAACCTCTGTGGAATTTCTTTTGCAATCTTATCTGGATCAACAATGGGAAAATTTGCTAGGTCTCTTTGAATCTGTGGAATGATTTCAGGGCAGTTCATCTCTTCCAGCCATGTACTGCTCTCCTCCTGAGGGCAGTCACAGTTTTCATGATAAATAGGTCCTATCAGGAACACAATTATTATTTTATTTTTATTAAGTCACACTATTGAGCTGTTGAGATCACAAAAGAGGGTCAGGCACTGAGCATTCATTGCTTAAGGCCAAACCTTCATCAACTCTAGATGGACATGTTTGAACTTTTTTTCACTCCAGTGGAGTCATGCCAAGCTACATCAGCTTCTGTGTGAGTCCTCTACATGTATTTTCTAGGCAACAGCTTCACAGCATTTGTTTCTTTTTATTATTTTGATTAGTATGCGCAGGACACGTATAACGAATCTATAATTCCAATGGGACTTGATAGTCCGGAGAAGTACTGCAGCCCCACGGAATCCTACGCTAATCCTAGAAGACATTCTGGGACACAGTTTGTGAGAAAAAGCCACGATAGGAAATCTGTGTGTAGTGCTGCTTCTTACCTTTTAAAATATATGGAGACTTTGCGACGTGTTTATCTCCAGTTTTGACTTCTATCTTCAGGTTTTTGTAGCTTGCGTACATCCTGTATCTTACAATGAAGGAACCATCTTTCCTGTCTAATACTTGCACACCAACCCGAGTGAACTGTTCATCAGGAGCAGTGATCTTCACCTGGAATGCATTTTCACCCGGTGATGAAGTGAACCTACCCAGAGAATAAGTGGGAGCTTAATAAAAAAGGAAACACACAATTGCTTGCTTAGTCTGATCCACTCCTTTTCAAGTTGACAGATTTCCCGTGACTTCACTGAGCCATGCTAGGTCTTTATGAGCACACCCTAATGTTCCCAAGCAAGGCATGATTTTTCCGAAGAGAATTTTGTTAGGGTACCTAAAACGTCTCATGCTGTTAGAAGCATTAGCTATCAAGAAGGTTCCACTCAGACAGTCACGAACACACCTCCAAAATCACTTGGTGCCCTGCACATTGAACAGTGTTGGAAATATGGTCTTTGATTATATGGGAACAGAGCACCTTTAAAAATCCAGCATAGCTCTTGACTAGTAGTAGCTCAAGTGTAAAATGATGGGAAGGTAGACAGCATACAGATAAATGGATCTTGGTAGATATATCTTGGTGTCCTGTCCTGTAGGGACAGGACAAGGGGCAATGGTTTTAAACTGGAAGAGGGTAGATTTAGATTGGATATAAGGAAGAAATTCTTTACAATGAGGGTGGTGAAGCACTGGAACAGGTTGCCCAGAGAAGCTGTGGATGCCCCATCACTGCAAGTGTTCAAGGTCAGGCTGGATGGGGCTTTGAACAACTTGATCTAGTGAAAGGTATCCCTGCCCATGGCAGGGAGGTCAGACTAGATGATCTTTAAGTGTCTCTTCCAACCCAAACAATTCTGTGATTCTACTAAAAAAATACTAGAACAAGCATCAGTTTAGCAGCTTAATAAGTCTGTTATTCTCCATACAGAAGCAAAATGTTTCCAGATTACTTTATTTTCCAGGTATTATTTAAGGAAGTAAAGAACAAAGTTAAACTTCTTAATCATTATGGTAGCTCATACAGGAGGAATAAAAGGATATTACAAATGCCAGTGTCTTGGTAGGGAAAAAACATTATAGTGGGATCATGTAATTCAATGTGTACTTATGACATTTTGGTAAAATCCTCCATACACCAATCATAGAAAAATCTCCATAAATCCAAATAAAATAATTTGAAAAATCATGAAGTTATCCCATATCAATGAGGTATTAACAAAGTTGGCACAGTCAAAATTCTGCATCTGCCAACTTTCTTCCACTTCTTTAAACATGGTCCCAAATATGTAGGGAGAACTTGGGATAGAGAGGTGGTGGGAGTGGCTGGACTAACGTATTGCAGCCCAGCAGCCTGATCACCTTTCCTGAAACTTGTCCAGACATCCTAGAGAGCTGCCAGTTCAACTAAATGCAGGAAATATTTACTCTCCAAGATAAGCTGAATTGGCAGCTTCCAGACTTGCATGTGCCATGGTGCATCTAATCTGGACAACCTGGATGGAGCACTCTGAGCTCCTACCTAGCTTGTATGGTCAGGGTTTCTTTCCTGTAGAAATGGAAAGCCATGAGTGTCTTCTGAAAACTAAGTTTACCTGTTTCATTCCTATGAAGTTTACCTAATAGCCTATGGAGTAAATCCTAAATGACTCTACTGATCTTGTGCCTGTGCATTTAGGAGAAATGCTGATGTTCCTAACAGTGGAAACATGCAGGATACCTGAGCAGGTACATCATAAATTAAATATATTAGTTATTGTTAAGGTTTTGACAAAGCAGAATAAATCATAAACTGTTGGTTGGACTAATACGCGTGTTTTGCCGTTCAACATTTTCATCCTCTTTCCTCATCTCATCCCCTTGCGCAGTTATTTGATACTCCTAAAAAGATTCATTAGCTTTTTTCTAAGTGATATACAGACAAAGTCACGTAGGGAGCCTTCAGCCTTCCCCTTCTACAAGAAAATCCCAAGTAAATTTCTGCCTAAAAGGTGAAAGC